GGCGCTGGGATCGTTGTGTTCACTCCCAGGGAAACTACTTCGAGGGTGATGGATGAATTTAATACCTGAGATAAGTGTACGGGTTTTTATACGCGCAGTCTGGAAACTTTCCAATCGCACCTCGTACTTCCTTACAGCTGTCAGATACAACCTCAAACTTTAACATAGTAGCAACATATTCCGTATTTTAAAACACAAAAATATTTAATTCAAAGTTTAAAATATATGCTGTATGACTAACGAACTATTGCAGGTAGGTATATTAAATTCGATAAGCGTCAAATTTTACATCAATGTTTACATTTTTTGTCATAACCAATAAACAGAAATTAAAACGTAGTTCCACAACCGCGGTCGCCATATTAGGGTATATTTTGCATTCTGAAGGAAAAACAACTAATTTTGGCTATAGTTACATACAAGCTGTATGGATGATACGGGGTGTGACAGCTAAATAACGTGATTGGCAACACTGCGAAGCGTGAGCTACTCTGTGGTCAGTGGAAAGCGCTACCAACCGTGCGTGAAGTACGATGTACTCGAAAGAGTATCAAATTTGTCTCGTCAAATCTAGCTCTATTTGATGTAGTGTTTCGATGGCTCGTCACGAAAATGGGTGACAAATATATTTAACTTAGGATCGACATGCAGTTCTTTTTAAACTTGGAAAAAATAATCACCGAGGATTAAATTATGTTTTTTTTTTTTTTTTTACAAAATGGCCCTGACACAAAGTGGTACAACCTGCAATGGAAATATCAGGGTTCACCGTTTCGAATAAAGCGTGGATGTCAAAAATGAAATTCATGACGATGCTGTCTTGTTTCGTTGACTGTAAAGGAGAATGTTAATCAAAAGTTTTGTCACCAAATTTGGGCGAAAAAAAATAGATCGTGAACCCGGTACACCCAGCTGACTCACCAGATCATTCGCTCTGTACGACAAGGAATTATCTCAAGGGATCACATTTTAAAACCGCGGAAGAGATTTGAAAAGTTTACGATGGCTGTTATAAAAATATTGCAGAATAAAATTTAATACAGTAATTCCTGTTAAGTGCAGTCTCGTTGTTAGACCTAGTATACTTAGACAACCCGTTCTTCAGTGCCTTGAGCATCTGTGGGTCCCAACTTTTCGTTGGCTTTGATCTATCAGACATTCGGTAGGACTCCCTAGACGAGTGATCTGCCCGTCCTGTACACAGGACAGCACAACACAGAGAGAAGCTGACAAACATCTATGCCTTGAGTGGGATTCGAACCCGCGGCCACTGTGACGGCAGACCTAGTATATTATTAATAATCATATAATGAGAGAGGTGCTCATGTCATATCCACGTTGGATGATTGTACGACCGCCATATTGGTACTGATTTCAGGGGAAATCAGTAACAGAAGTACGATAGTCATCAATGACGTTAATTAAAGTACGACTTAATTTTCTTCATTAGATCGAAGGTTATTAAGTGTGATAAACACGCACACAGACATACCGAAACCAAAAGCTCTATTTTATTCCAGTATTGCATAAATGCAGTTTAACTAGCATCGTTGGTAAATACACAAATAAAAATAAATATTAAAACAATACCGAAAAATGCTTAGGAATATCAATGCCTAAAGCTGGGATTCGAACCTGTAACTCCACGTTTAATACCTTTGTCTTAGGCTGTGTGATCGAATCGTCATTGAGAAATATTTACTCAGTTAAAATTCTGTAGAGTTTTGAAATACACACATATCCTGATACCCCAAAAATACTGATAGGTTTGAATAGCATGTAAACACGCTATATTCAACACAATATGACGCAACATTATCATCTTAAGCTAATAGTCGTTCAGCTGACCATAAAATGTCCTCTTCCTATGGATTCTGAAAGTCCATGGCCGTGTTCAGAAGAAACAGCTACTACATCAAACTTCAATCGAGAGGATACCATTATATCCCTTCACACAGGAACACCCTCATCTTACGACCTATTTTAATATTATCCTCCCATCCACGCCTGAGTTCCAAAAGTGATATCTTCCCTTAACATTTTATGACTACAATTTTGAACGTATTTTTATTTCCGCCATTCGTTCTAAACACCCCACCCATCGGACGACCTTCTACATTTCATTAACCAAATAGAACGCTGACTTATACAAATTACTAAGATCCACTTCATGTATCGTTTCACATCCTGATATTAAGAACGCTATCTTCTGGATTGTTGCGTCGTGTAAGTTTACCAACTTTTCAGTGGTCCTTGCTGCCTCCATCATCAGGGCTTCTACCAGACTACACGGCACCAACAACCCAGAAGACAGCAATCATCAGACTCATTGCCGTGAAGACCTCAAATCCTACATCCTGACATTACATTTTCTCTATTAGTTTCGTGTTATGTTACTCGTAAACAAATGCAAAATATGTATTTCCAGAGTCAATACAACGTTGTCTCTCTTTGTTCTACAGATCTCCCGGTCTGACGCCCGGAATGTGACCCTCCTGAACATTCAGAAACAACTCACTGGATTTTATAAGTGTGAGGTTTCGGCCGATGCACCACTGTTTCACACGGAAATCAAGTCTGCCTTCATGACTGTGGTCGGTAAGTATCAGATATAAACCATTTATTTACATTCATATCTCACGTGTGTTCCGCTGCTAAAATATTCAACGAACCTCAGTACTGTCAGTTAACATAAAACTTTCAACAACTGTCATGATTACGAACACACATGTCAGGGATGGTTAGGACATGTAGCACGCATGGTGTCAGATCAGATATGTGCACGAAACTTTGGCTGGAAAGCCTGATAGGTAATTAACCACTTGGATTTCCTAGGCGCAGATAGGGGGATAATATTAAAATGTATATAAGGGAAATGTGAATTGGATTTATATGGCTCAGAATAGGGAGCTTTTTTGAAAAAGATAATAAAATTTGGGTTCCATAAATTTCATTTCATTAATAGCTGAGCGTAATGATAATTTTTCAAGATGGTCTCTACTACATGAATTTGGGCCTCAAACCTTGGATATTCGAAAGGAAATGAATGGTTGATAACTCTATAGCATGGCAACACATTTATAATATTTGTCACGTAATTACCAGACACTGGGAATGGCAGTATGTAATTACTCTTCACATTTTATAAATATTACTCCGCTCGTTAATTAATCCGCGATCTTAATGTGTATTAGGCGTTTAAAACACATTCTGTCACATTTTCGTCTCATTGGTAGGAACATTCTGTACTGGTGTGTTATGGAGCATCAAATGAAAACTGTAAAATTTAGGATTTTAAATAATTTTGACGTATATGAATTAAAATAATCAGTAAACAGCCAATAATTATTATACAAATTTAAATTAATTTTACACGAAAATAAAAGGGCAAGGCTTTCGTACTTTAGTTAGAGGTTTCAAACCCCGTACTGTAAGACTGTGAAAACCTGATGGAAAGAGACCACTTGGGAGACAGAGACATAGATGGGTGGATAATTTTAAGACGGATTTAAAGAAACAGTGTAAGCGTGTTGATTGCGTTTATCTGACTCAAAAGTGGGTGTAGTCGAAAACACGGTTTGATCCTCTGGGCCCCTTAAAAAGCGTAAAATTTCTTGTCTACCTGAAGAACTTTTCGCTTCTCAAGAAGAACGTTGAGGGATAGAATACCAAAATCCTACTTCCGTCTTATATCCTACAGAATCTAACTTTTTTGTTTATTATTAAACTGTACTTCATTATTATTTTTTTTATTTGTAGTGTTCTGTCTGACGACAGGTCCATATGAACAGGATCCTTCCATCCTTTTCTCGGACTGGGACCTGTTCATATACGTTCTTGGCAGATGATCCAGAAGTGGTTTGCCATTGCCTTCTTCTGTGTGTGTTGGGATGCCACGGAGAAACCGGGGAAGCCCCCGGAGGAAAACTCCGTGATGCCTAGACCACGGCCTTGTCCAACACAAGTTATAAATTTGAGCACCACCGGGAATTGAACCCGGGACCCCAGGCTTACAAGGCTAGTGTTCTGACCGCTAGACCACCGTGGCGGTACTTCATTATTACTGAGATTAATTCGTCATAGAATCAGAAGCTTCAAAAATTATATAAATTATGTAATTTAGGTCTAAAAATGATAGTCTTTCTTGATTTACCACCTTGCATTCTGGTAGATATTGGACGACGTTTCAGAGGTGCTCGCCTGAACCGTAAGTTAATCGATCCTCCCATATAACAGTCACCTTCATAAATGCTATGATTACCCAAAATCTCACTTAACTTAAGTTTATATTAAAACTGTAGTTTTATAAATAAACAAATCACTTTTAAATTAATATATAAAGTATATTTCCATGTTCGGGAATTAAATCTCTGCACTATTTAATATATTCAGCAAATGGGTCGTTACGTAAATGCCCTATTACAATTTGCACCAAAATATACAGCCCATAAAACTAATGGGACATCAATAACGTAAAATGGAAGTACACAGAATTTAGTGCTCAATATACTTTATTGAGTTTCTGGTGTTCTGTCCTATCTATCCCGTAAGCATATGGCCTAAGATTGGGTTTCCGGAGGTGGTATTAGGGAACAAGTAAACTACAGGATACAGGAGGCAACCCTCCCCTAAGAGCCGAACGCTAATCTGTGGAGATGCGATATCGAATTCTGCACCCAATAGCTCCCTCAGCTTTGAGGATTAAGAAGGTATTCAATTCAAGTCTTACAGGTAAAATATTACAAAGCGTAGGTTTACGACATTTTATAGGTGGGGGCCTAGGGATTATGTGTTGCTGTAGGCGTATAGTAAAATATGAAATCAACAAAATAATTAAAAACGGATCATGGGTAACGTGGGTGAACGAGACATTGAAATAAATTTATGGGGGTTACAAGAATCGGAATATTATTACTCATGAAGCATGTTTGTTAATCATCAGGTAAAAAACGTCCATCCACTTCAATTTCTTTATTATGAGAGTGCTCATTTATTTCCTTGTTAAAATGTACTGTTGGTTTTCTTATTGAAAGTTCTGGGTTCATATACGAGGTGCGATCGGAAAGTTTAAAGACTGTGTCAATAGCGGGCGAACCGGATGTAGTACGAGCTTCAGCCGCTAGGGGTTGCGGCCTAAATTCATAGTGACTCAGTGTGCCAGCCGGCATCATCGAATTAGCATTTGTTTCTTAGTTACGGGCGTTTTGGTAGTGCATTACACCGACCCTCCTGCGATTTCGGAATGGCGTGTGCATCAAATGTTGCCAAAGACTCGCCAAAACGGCTACGGAAACCTATGAAATGCTAAAGCAAGCATTTGGGGAGTCCGCAATGGGTAGTTCACAAACTTTTATGTGGCATTCATGTTTTAAAAATGGCCGAACCTCTGTCCATGATGACGAGCGTTCTGGACGACCATCTTCGAGCACAACGCCCGAAAATGTTACGAAGATTCGGCAGGCCATTCACGAAGATCGACGTCGTACCATCAACGACTTGTGCGACATTGCTGGGATAGGCTATGGGACCTGTCAGCTAATTCTAAAGGAAGAACTCCACATGCGAAACCAAGGCTCCTGTCTGAGGACCAGAAGCAGAATCGACTTCTCGTTTGTCAGGAGCTCAAAGATCTTGCAAGAACCGACCCCAACTTCCTTTCTAAGCTCCGTGTGACTTCTTCCTCTTCCCAAAGATGAAAATTCAGCTAAAGGAAAGGAGATTTGAGACGATAGAAGAGATTCAGGCAGAATCGCAGATGGTGCTTGACAGGGTGACAAAGAAAGATTTCCAGGGATGCTTCCAGGCTTGGCAGCGGCGCTGGGATCGTTGTGTTCACTCCCAGGGAAACTACTTCGACGGTGATGGATGAATTTAATACCTGAGATAGGTGTACGGGTTTTTATAGGCGCAGTCTTGAAACTTTCCGATCGCACCTCGTACAGTGTCGGATGAAAACATAATTTTGACTTCACTGTTTCGACTTCATTACACAGATTCCAATAAGCTGGAAGATGTTTGACTCCGACTATGCAGAGTTATGGCTTATATCAATGTACTGTTCATACATCTGCATGACAAGATACAAGAAACTTCAATTGGTAGAATAAGTTTCAACTGGTACCTCGGCGGTAATTTTAACCGGTTATTTGACGGCCGAATTCATGTCCAGAATGTTACCAGACCGCTCTGAAGTGACAGTCGAGATGCGTGTAGCCACTCCGGGATGAGATTATAAAGTCCTCGACGTTTCTGGTTTAGCCATTAAATATAACTGTAATTACCAAATGCTTCACTTTGTAGTAGTGTATGCTGGCGTACGAAAACACAGTACAGTACTTTCTTTTATAAAGTATTTTTTCATAACGCAAATTGGCTTATAAGAGAAAACTGTTTCCATAACGCGGGTGCATGTTAGAAATAATTCGATCGAAGTAAAGAAATCCAGATAAATAGATCACAAAATCAGGTATGAAAAAGGCAAAATTTGTTCTGATTTTGTTACTAAATCCCTAACAAGAACTGTTAACTTTTCGGCGTGGGTTAACACTTAACCTTGGTGTGTTGAATATTAATAGAGAATGAAATGAGTTCCCGTGTGGGATTTAACAGAAAATAATGCACACTATGGTATGACACAATCCAAAGGCTATTCCCCTAACCCTTTAATTTTAATTAAACCAACGGTTCCTATAACGCAATTTTACCATAATGCGTTATTTTCTAAAAATAATGCAGCTATCGAGTAGTAGAAAGAACGGTTATAGACGATTATTTCATTATTATTGTGTTACCAGCGTGAAGAAACCGCTGTTTTGTGTCAATCTCTTTAAGATGTACGTAATGTTTACGTAAACAAATACAGAAATTTTAATTTAAAAATAACTGAATACGAGGTGGAAAGAATAAATAGGTAGAAAAATGTTAAATATTTACAAACCCCACACCATATTTACACGAAAGTAATGCAATTTAACGAGTAACGATTTTTATATTACGTACAGTTTTCAATTTAATATAACTGGCATTGTAACATTTACATCAACGTATGTAAATGTTTACGGATTATAAAAATAAATAGAACTGTACTAGATATATTTCAATTTAGAAACAATTTTTAAGCGTTCTTTGCAAAACGTGCGTTCAACACAAAGTGCAGATATCATATTTACCCGGTTTGCCTTTCCGTCTTCGAAAGGATTTGTCGGATTCAAGTGAAATTTGTAACTTATTAGAGCATTAAACGTTTGCTGACTGATTTAAATTTTGATTTTATCGACCAATCTTACACGATGAAGAAGCCAAACTTAATCGATCTCCTCGAAAGTGATTCAGGTGTACTAGTATATATATTACAAACATTTCGATATCATTAAGACTTACAGTTCTTAACTTGAATCCTGTTTCACTATGTTGAATAAACGAAAATGATTTGTAAAAATAAGGGAATTACAATATATTTTATTTAACGTGTTATATTAATGTGGCCCCTGTTTCGCCATGTGTCCGTCCGTCCGTCCGCATGTAATAAATCCAAATTGAGAATTTGACATTTTGAATTTCTGCTATTCTTTTTCAACATCTTCAGATTTTGATTAAAA